ATTTTTTAATGTTTATTTGTTTTTGAGACAGAGCATGAGTGGGGGAGGGGCAAAGAGAGTGGGAGACACAGAATCTGAAGCAGGCTCCAGGCTCCGAGCTGTCAGCACAGAGCCTGATGTGGGGTTCAAACTCACAAACTCACAAGTCATGAGATCATGACTTGAGCCGAAGTCGGATGTTAACCGACTGAGCCTCCCAGGAGCTCCGAACACTCACTGCTCTTTAAGGCTTCGCTAGTAAAGGACACCTGTGGCTGTTCTCCCAGTCCCCAAAAGTATGATTCGGCTGGACATACTTGGCAGTTGGAGTAACCTTCACACTGGGTCCTTGACCTGTGGAGTAAGAGCTACCATAGTGGAGAAGGCCAGGTGGAAGCCTCTGACTGGCCTTCTACACACCTGCCCTCACTCTCTCCTACCAAGATGATAAGTCAAAGACAATATCATATTCTGGGTATTGATGGTGGAGATTGGTGCTGCTCTTAAAAGTCTAAAGGATGTAGGGGTGGCTGTTCCTATCATTTCCCCTCTTAACTAGCCGACTTGGCTTCTACAGAAACCAGGTTGATAACTGGGAAGTGACTTTACACTATTGCAGACTCAACCAAGCAGTAGCCCCAATTGCAGCTGCAGTGCTAGACGTGGTGGTGTTGCTAGAGCAGGTGACTAAGGCCTCAAGTACATGATATGTGGTCATTAATTTGGGGAATATGTTTATTTTAACCCATTTAGAAAAAAAACACCAGAAACAGTTTTGCCTTCTTTTGGAACTGATGCTATTCTTTCTTTACCATTCCGCTCCAGAGCTAACGTCAACTCTCCTGCCCTCTGTCATAACGTAGCCTCAAGAGATCTGGACTATCTGGGCATTCTGAAGAATATCAGTGACTCATTACAGATGACATCGTTCTGATCTTGTAGGAAGAGAGGTAATATACTGGAATACACTATATAGTATCCTAGAGTATGCTAGTATATTAGGTGCCTCTGTAAGACATGTTTGCTCAAGAAGGTGGGAAATGAACCCTACCAAGAATCAGGGATCTATCATTTCAGTAAAGGGGATGATGGCCACATTATAGATACACACAATGGTGGCCTTGAAAGACAGTGGCAAGGGAAAAATTTCCAATGGTAGAACTTTGAGTGGTGCGTCAGATCATCCACTTGGTGTGTAAAGGAGAAGTGAGGTGAGCATGTGTATGGATTCATGAGCAGTGGTGAATGTCCTGGTCAGCTGGTCAGGAGCCTGAAAGAAAGTGTCAGAGCCTGTGACAAAGGGGGTAATGGGTAAAGGCACAGGGATGAATACATGGAGTAAACACCACATGTTAAGACGTTTTTGTATCACCTGTTAACATCCACCAAAAAGCACCCACCATGGAAGAGGTACTGCACAACCAAGCAGACAAAATGACTTGGCTAGTTGACATTAGCCACTTCACAAAAGGCAAAGTGGGTACATGGGCAGAGTGGTCATAATGGCAGAGATGGAGGCAATGTGTTGGCCCACAGCATGGACTCCCACTTGCCAAGACAGATGTAACTATTGCCCCTTCTGAATACCTAATCTGCCTGCAGCAGAGACCAAGAGTGAGTCCCTGACATGACACTATCCCTTGAGATCAACTGGCCTCTTGGTGACAAATTGACTACATTGGGCCCCTTCAGTCTCGGAAGAGCCAGTGGTTTATTTGCACAGGAATAGACATCTATTTAGGGTATGGGTTTGCCTTTGGGTCTCCTACTTACAGAGCCTAAGCTATAACCACAATATAGGGGCTTACAGAGTGCCTGAGACACATGGAATCCCACAAAATATCATCCAAAGGGGAATCCACTTTACAATGAAAATGGGTAGGGCGGGCCCATGACCATGAAATAGGCTGGTTGTATTACATTTACATTATCCAGAAGCTGCCACTCTGGTAGAGCATTGGAATGCCCTTCCCGAATAAAGGTACAGCTAAGGAGCCCACTTAAAGGTCATACTCTGTAAGGATGGGGTGCTATCCTTCAGATGGCAGTATCTGCACCCAGTCAGGGACCTCCATAAGGCACTGTGTGTCCCCAGGAGGATCCTAGATCCAAGGGGTGAAACCAGGAATGGCCCCATTTACCATCGATGACTCAGTGAAGAATTTTGTTTTTCCTATCCCTACAGCTTTGGAATCTGTAGCATTGGAGCCTCTGGTCCCCAAAGGGGTGTACTTTTGGGGAGGGACAAAGTCAGAGCTCCGCTAAACTGTAAGCTCCAACCGACACATGAGGACCTTGGACGCCTTGCATCTAGAAAGCAGGAGTTGGAGTCACCATATTGGCAGAGTTAATTGACCTTTATCTGTAGGAGGAGGCAGCACTGTGGTTCCACAGCGGGGGAGGCAGGACATCTGTGAAACTCAGATGGTACACTTTGATATCTCTTGGTACTCCTTGTCTAATTGTAGCTGTGAATGGATAGTGCCTCAGCCCTGGCTTGAGAAGGGCATAGTTTCCAGAGGAATGAGGGTTTGAGACACACCACTACTAGGACGTCCAGAAGTGATGGCCAAAGGTGAGTGGAACGTCAGTAGTGGAGAAGGGAGATGATGAGTACCGGTTGTGGCCCTGAGACTACTTGCAGGGACAGGAGTTGTAGTTTGCTCCACGAAGCTCACTCTTGGAGCTCCCCTGAGGAAGAGAAGTCTCCCCTGAGGAAGAGAGATGCACTAAGGAATCGCTGAAGCGCTGCTCCCCAGATGTGTGGGCAAGTGGATCCATGTGGTACAAGGGGCAGACTGTGGCAGCCATGGGTGTGCTGCTCCGTTTCCCTTCAAGAGGGAGCCTGTGGTGAGGAGTGCAGTCAGCCGACGGCCGCTAGCTACAGCATCTTCAAGATCCACAGCAGCATTCAAGCTGGATACGTGTTCCCTGGGAGCTCCCAGCCAGTGAGGGGAGACAGTAGGGCTACCAGGGCCCGGTCATCTCTGCCCAGCAGTTCTTTGTGGGCAAGCCGTGCACTGGCAGAGACTTTTCACAGAGCTGCATCTCAGTCCAGGCTCTTCCTGCTCAAATCTTCCCTCTGACTCTTCTCTTTTCATCCATGTCAGACCTGAAAGCTTTTCCTGACTACTGCTTCTTTGCTTCTTTATCTTTCACAGGAGTTACCCCTAAGCCATCTCTTGTACTTTCAACTATCTTGGGACTCAATCTAGAGACCCAGAGGACCCAAACTGACACCCAATTGTGACATCACGGAAATGAAGGGATTACCAGGAACCTCATACACAGGTAGTCTCTGTTACATCCAGGAACATGTCATTTATTTCCAGATCTCTCCTCCTTATTATGGAAATCTAATTTATAGGCAAGGAAGAAGAGTGGGAATATATCAAAGAATAAAGTCTTAATTTTCTATTTTATACTTGGAAACATATAACGTGGGTATGGGTTGCTTTTGCCTTCTGCAATGAGAAAAGAGAACAAACACTGAGCATGCCCATGAGAGGGTGCTTATAGGGGTGTTGACCTGTGTTGTGAAAGATCTGATGATGTGCTCCTTAGAAGCCAACCACAGATATCTCTATACCCCCTCCTCTTTGCCAGCTCCTGGGAACCAACCTCAGCATTATCCAGCCAGAATCCACAGGGTCAATTATATTTTTAGGATGAAAAAAGTATTTAATAATGAGACTTTGCTTTTTATTTTTTAAATTTTTTTTTCAACGTTTATTTATTTTTGGGACAGAGCGAGACAGAGCATGAATGGGGGAGGGGCAGAGAGAGAGGGAGACACAGAATCAGAAACAAGCTCCAGGCTCCGAGCCATCAGCCCAGAGCCTGACGCGGGGCTTGAACTCACGGAGCGCGAGATCGTGACCTGGCTGAAGTCGGACGCTTAACCGACTGCGCCACCCAGGCGCCCCGAGACTTTGCTTTTTTAAATAGCTTTTTAATTAATGACAAACTCAGAAAGGAAGATTTTACATTTTCCTCTCAACATCCCTCTCAGTTATCATGAAACAGCCACAGCAGAATTATTCTCTCTTTCTTATGCAACAAAACCCAAAATACAAAGTTTAATAAGTATTAGGAAGGCAATAGAGAGATAATGGGAAGTCAATACTAAAATACTAAAATTCAAATTTCTTCCAAGTTCAGTATATTGGCCTCCAAGTGAATGTCTCACGATATCAGCATGTTGCAAAGAGAATCTGGAGGTCCCATATTTCTTCACTTCCCTTTGCCAATGTGTGGTTAGAAGTGTGTGTGTGTGTGTGTGTGTGTGTGTGTGTGTGTTTGTACGTGGGCACGCGCGCCCAAAGCTCCCTCTCTTGTGTGTGTGGGAGTGTGCTGGGTACTGATAAACTTGATGAGAAAGGAAGATGATTGGATGGAAGTTAATTTCCTAACTGCCAGGTAAATGAGTGGACAAGGCGTCACAACCTGACTTAGAGCTGAGGTCTCCTCACTGAGCACAGTGCTTTGACTACTGCTGCCGGTCCAGCTACATCTTTGTGTTTCTGAATATATTTCTTGTGTTCTTTGCTGCTGCCAGGCCCCCACCACGACTCCACAAGATCTTGATTTACCTAGTCCTCTGCCAGAAGTCTGATTTATCCATTTACTTCTTTTTTTTAAAAAAAATGTTTATTTCTGAGACAGAGGGTTTGCATGAGTGAGAGAGAGGCAGAGAGAGAAGGAGACAAAATCTCAAGCAGGCTCCGTGCTGTCAACGCAGAGCCGGATGCACGCCTTGAACTCACAAACCGTGAGATCAAGACCTGAGCTGAAACCAAGAGTTGGATGCTTACCCAACTAAGCCACCCAGGTGCCCCTGATTTATCCATTTGCTTCTTAATATTTGCTGTATGTGATTTTTTCCAAATGGCTTTGATTTTTACCACCCCTAGTGTTCTGTGCAAAACAAGGGTACGCTTTTCTAGTAAAAATGTTTTGGTTTACATCATCTTTGATTATAGCCCCCAAATATATATAAATTAAATCAATAAAGTGATTCATTCATATTTTAAGGCATCACGTCTCTAAAGTTAAGGGACCTATTGTACTTTGCTCTCATTTCAAACATTAACACATGAGCAGTAAACTGCCAACTTAATATTCAGTTTGAAGCATAAGTTTAGTAGAATAAATAAAGTACTTTCAGAAATCGCAAGTAGGGAATTAACAGGCTAGAGGCTGAACTAATAATCTTGACATGGTTTGATTTTCACTTGGCTTATTCTTTTCACTCTGTTACCTTTTTATTTACACATCTAAATGAAATGCAAATTCTACTGTTAGAGGGTACAACACAGGTACTAACCGAAGAGACACTTCCATTCATTCTCTATAACCCTGGATATTTATCCTGCTTTAAAATGTTAATCTCTCATGTCTTGAGCCTCTTACTGAGCAGCGAGTGCTTATCTGTGCACAATCCATTTCTCTTTCGGCTGGGATTTTCTCTGGGATCCGAGGTGCCTTCACTGAGCAATTCCGACTGTGCTTTGTTAGGCATCTGCAAGACAGGTGCAGGCACACAAACTCCAGCAGGCGCGCCCCCTTCCGAACCGCCCGGCCTCTGCAGGGTCGACTCAACAGGCCAGCAGGCAAACAGGACACTATGACACTGGCTGTTCCTCTCTAACCCTGGTGAGTATCTTCTGTGGACCTTTGAAATGTGAGGTCAGCATAAAATCTGGGACTCCAGGGGCACCTGGGTGGCTGGGTCGGTTAAGTGTCCGACCTCAGCTCAGGTCATGATCTCACAGTTTGTGGGTTCAAGCCCCGCATGGGGCTCTGTGCTGCTAGCTCAGAGCCTGGAGCCTGCTTCGGATTCTGTGTCTCCTGCGCTCTCTGCCCCTCCCCCGCTCTTCTCATTTTCTCTCTCTCTCTCTCTCTCTCTCTCTCTGCTTCCCTCTCAAAAATAAATGAACATTAACAAAATTAAAAAAAAATCTGCGGCTCCAAGCCAAAATTTCAGAAACGTGTTCGCTAACTCTAGCATCCGATTCTCATTGAGAACTCCCTTTTTTGTAGGCTCCTTTTCAATGCTTGCTCAGTTCTCAGCTACGATTCTGTCCTAGCCTTGACAAGCTGCTCTTAAACTGCAGGTAAGAATTGATTTCTAGAATCGGTTTGTGTTCCACCAAGAAACAGAAGCAGTCCTGTTAACAAACCATTTTCTCTCAAAGGGCCTAATGTTTTTCCATGAGAAGGACCTTGCTGAGGGTGCCATATGTGCGGGCGGCTTCGAGGCACTGAGTGTTCCTTTGTGTGTCCAAGTCATAAACAAATAGCAAATTATGCAACAAAGCCTCTCAAGTTTTTGCCTCTCTGTTTCCTGAGCTGGGGAGCACTTTCTCACACCCTGGGCGGCTCAGGGAGAGAATGGAAAGGCCCTCTGCTGGAAGCACATCAAATGCAGAAACTAGGCCACTTGGTGCCAGATGGTTCTCAGGCCCCAGAATTTGAAGTTTATACTTTAGTTCACTTCAGGACCAAATCCTGGCATTTTGGAGCCACCCTGCTAACGCTTCTGCTGCTTTTAAAGAGTGATGTGCAGTGGGGCGCCTGGGTGGCTCAGTCGGTTAAGCGTCTCACTTAGGCTCAGGTCATGATCTCGTGGTTTGTGAGTTCTAGCCCCGCGTCGGGCTCTGTGCTGACAGTTCAGAGCCTGGAGCCTGCTTCGGATTCTGTGTCTCCCTCTCTCTCTGCCCCTCCCCTGCTCACACTCTGTCTCTCTCAAAAATAAATAAACATTAAAAAAAAAAAGATAATGGTGTGCGGGAATCCGAGGCAGCGTCAGGTGACCCTCCAACAGGAGGATGCTTAGGACATTTTTAATCATTTCTCTTTTTATTTTGAAGGCCTTCTTTGCAGGCTGGAGGAGTTTTTTTTTGGAAGGAGGGTATGGGAGTGATCCAGTAATAATAGTTCTTTGGTTTTATTCCTTTCAAGTGGTAGGATGCTTGCCTTGAAATTTAATTGTGCACTCAAAATTGCAACAGTAAGCCAACCCTAGCAAAGGTGGATTTTATTCTAAAAATTATTGTACAGTTTTTTTTAAATTTGCATTCCTTTCAGTTAATTTTCCAAAGTTTTAACCTTTTCCTCTAAAAACAGAGTAGCAGACTCTTACCTTTGTTCTGCACGGAGTATTCTCAGAGGTCACACTCTCACTTTTGGCTCCGATGGCTTCTTCCACAACTACATCAAGGGAGATATAGTGGAGAAGACAGGATAACATAAAATATTAAAAAAAAACATTTTGGGGGCCCCTGGGTGGCTCAGTCGGTTAAGCATCCAACTTCAGCTCAGGTCATGATTTCACAGTCCCTGAGTTCGAGCCCTGCATCAGACTCTATGCTGACAGCTTCAGATTCTGTGTCTCCCTCTCTCTCTGTCCCTCCCCCTCTTGCTTTCTCTCTCTCTTTCAAAAATAAATAAACATTGAAAAAATTAAAAAAAAAACATTTGTGGTATCTATAGAACTACGTTTCATGAAGAATCAAGAAGTAAATGTAATGTGTTTAAAACATGTCACTATTAGAATTGCTGCTTTTAAACTTTTATTGCAACATTCCATCATTATCATTTACAAGTGGCACTGAACCTGCTAGGTATGCCTCCTTCACGTTATTCAAAGGAAATTCGGGGCGCCTGGGTGGCTCAGTCGGCTAAGTGGCCGACTTCGGCTCAGGTCATGATCTCGCGGTCCGTGGGTTCGAGCCCACGTCGGACTCTGTGCTGACAGCTCAGAGCCTGGAGCCTGTTTCAGATTCTGTGTCTCCCTGTCTCTGACCCTCCCCCATTCATGCTCTGTCTCTCTCTGTCTCAAAAATAAAAATAAACGTTAAAAAAAAAATTTAAAGGAAATTCTTTGGCCCACCGTCAGTAATGCTCCAGCTCTGAGGTGACTTTGAAGCAATGGTGACAGATTTGCCTATCCTACACTCTTCCACCCGGCCCTTCAGAAGGACCCGCGTTAATGCAGTGTGTGAGAAAAGTGTGCCAGGGGTGAGTGTGAGTGTGCCCTTGGTCCAAAGACAGTGACTACATCACAAATAACTTGGGCTGACTCTCAACTTTTCCAAGATCGATCATCTATGTTGTATGCTCTGTTATTCCTGGCTTCTCAGCCTTAGACCTAACTCCAAACGTCTGAGGAGGGAGCAGAGAAGTCGAATCTTAAAGATATAACTATGCAACCCCAAAATATCTTAACGTTGGACAGTACGTTATGTGTTTCAACATGGTCTTTACATTCCTAGTTTACTTTCTTTTTTTTTTTTTAACGTTTATTTATTTTTGAGACAGAGAGAGACAGAGCTTGAACGGGGGAGGTGTAGAGAGAGAGGGAGACACAGAATCGGAAGCAGGCTCCAGGCTCTGAGCCATCAGCCCAGAGCCCGACGTGGGGCTCAAACTCACGGACTCACGGACCGTGAGATTGTGACCTGAACTGAAGTCGGACGCTTAACCGACTGAGCCACCCAGGCGCCCCATACATTCCTAGTTTACTTTCAATCTCAGTTTATGCTCATAACAGAAAAACAAATTAACCTACCGAATTATATAATATAGGTAAGCAAAAGCTAAATTCCTATGACAGGGATAATTCTGAATGGCAAGAAAAAAACCCCTCAAAAGTTAAATGTAATACGTAAAATAGACAAGTCAAACGGTTCAGCATATAGCAAATAACTGTTGACCTGTAACCTGTCATTTTTATTAATAACGTTTTTCGCATTTTCACGGTACAATGCTGAAATACCATATCCTCCCGCGTCTGTGATGCATAGTACAATGCAGACATGCAGTTTTTGAAAAGCGAAAACAGATAAGGGCGCCTGGGTGGCTCAGTCGGTTAAGTGTCCGACTTCAGCTCAGGTTTCAGCTCAGGTTCAGCCGATTTCGGCTCAGGTCATGATCTCACAGTTCGTGGGCTCGAGCTCTGAGTTGGGGCTTGGTATTTTCTCTCTCTCCCTTGCTCTCTGCCCCTCCTCCACTCTCTCTCTCTCTCTGTCAAAAATAAATAAAATAAACTTTAAAAAAAGTGAGAACCAATAAAAATAAAGTTGTGTCAGTTCCTTAAAAACCTAGATCTGGGGGCGCCTGGGTGGCGCAGTCGGTTAAGCGTCCAACTTCAGCCAGGTCACGATCTCGCAGTCCATGAGTTCGAGCCCCGCGTCAGGCTCTGGGCTGATGGCTCGGAGCCTGGAGCCTGTTTCCGATTCTGTGTCTCCCTCTCTCTCTGCCCCTCCCCCATTCATGCTCTGTCTCTCTCTGTCCCCAAAATAAATAAAAACGTTGAAAAAGGAAAAAAAAAAATTAAAAAAAAAAAACCTAGATCTGTAGTTACGGGAGTACAAACAGAAATTTTTGATTTAACTAAGAGTCTACATAGTTATTATTTTCTTTTTCTAGTTCTATATACAAAGTCATATGTTCATTTCCAACTGCCTTCACTTCTGTCATGAAGAACAAGCACAGTCATGTATGACTGGGTGTGGGACAGGGTGGCATCTTAAACATCTGTGAACAGACCTGTTAGAATCTCATCGAGTTGGTCCACCATAAACTTGGCATCTTCTTCAGTGAAGCACATAGGTGGTTTTATTTTAAGCACATTTCTATGAGGTCCGTCGGCACTGAGAAGCACTTGCTTTTCTTTCATCCTAATTAGTGCAGGAAATATATGTGAGTGCACACAAATGGTAACTAAGATTATTTAAGAATGATGTAGGGGTGCCTGGGTGGCTCAGTTAAGCATCGACTCTTGATTTCAGCTCTGGTCATGATCTCAGGGTCGAGAGATCCAGCCCCGCATTGGGCTCCACACTGATCGCACAGAACCTGCTTGGGATTCTCTGTCTCCCTCGCTCTCTTCCCCTCCCCCGCTTGCAAAAAGGTTCCCTCCCTCTCTAGAGAGAAAAAGAAAAGAAAAGAAAAAAAGAATGATGTGAACACAGAGCAGTTCAATATTCTCATGCACGTGTCTCAAACTTCCCTTATTTGGAGAGGTGAGAGGAAGTAAAGGAAGCTTTCAAATGGGGGGGGAGGGGCATCTTTTAAGCCAGGACACCAGTCAGGTGTGGGGGTGTATTTACTTGTAGATGACATGTTGAGCCTCATCTGTGGCGGGGGTCCTTTTCTGCTGGTCCTTCACCAAGTCAATTCCGATAAACAGGCCAATGCCCCTGAGGAAGGTAAAGAAAGAAAACTTGACAGATACTCCATCAGACACTGCACTGTCACAAAAGATTAACATTGTCCCCAAACCTCATTTTCATTTGCAGCTGGATATGATTCCCTGTAGGGGTAACTGTTATTGATTCTAACTAATCCAAGATACCAACCCACTGTCACAGGTCTTTCTAGTTTTTGAACCAAGTTGTTTTTCTCATCCAGCTTTTTTTTTCTTTATTTAATTGTAAAAGAAAATTCTTTTTTTTTTTTTATTTTTTTTTCAACGTTTTTTATTTATTTTTGGGACAGAGAGAGACAGAGCATGAACGGGGGAGGGGCAGGGAGAGAGGGAGACACAGAATCAGAAACAGGCTCCAGGCTCCGAGCCATCAGCCCAGAGCCTGACGCGGGGCTCGAACTCACGGACCGCGAGATCGTGACCTGGCTGAAGTCGGACGCTTAACCGACTGCGCCACCCAGGCGCCCCTAAAAGAAAATTCTTAAAGACAACCTTCTCATACTACTTAGCTTCTCAGGACATTAATGATGATAAATATGTAAAGTTTATATATATCTATGAAAAATATCAAGTTTTCTGGGATGTCATTTTATTTATTTATTTATTTATTTAATGTTTATTTTTGAGAGAGAGAATGAGTGGGGGAGGAGCAAAGAGAGAAGGGGGTACAGAGCTCAGAAGCAGGTTCCGTGTTAGGGCAGAGAGCCCAATGTGGGGCTCGAACCCGTGAACCTTGAGATCATGATCTGAGCCGCAGTTGGATGATTAACCTACTGAGCCATCCAGGCGCCCCTCCAGGATGTCATTTTCAATAATTTTTGAAAAATTATTTAGAATTACTTTAAGTTCCTTCTTCTCATCTTTTACAGGCTGAAATTATACCGACTTTATTTATTTATTTATTTATTTATTTATTGAAGTATGAAAGTCAAGAAAGGTATACACCCAAAAGTTAACAGTGGTGATATCAGGGTTCTGGATAAAGAACAAATTTTGTTTTTTATGTTTTTCAGTATTTTCTAGATTAAATTTTATGGGGGCGCCTGGGTGGCGCAGTCGGTTAAGCGTCCGACTTCAGCCAGGTCACGATCTCGCGGTCCGTGAGTTCGAGCCCCGCGTCAGGCTCTGGGCTGATGGCTCAGAGCCTGGAGCCTGTTTCCGATTCTGTGTCTCCCTCTCTCTCTGCCCCTCCCCCGTTCATGCTCTGTCTCTCTCTGTCCCAAAAATAAATAAACGTTGAAAAAAAAAATTAAAAAAAAATTTTATGTAATTTATTTTAAGTTTATAAGATAAGTTATTTTCATTTGGAAAAGTGAGTAACCATATGACAATCTCATGATAAGCACACCTGATATCTCCTATTAAAGTATGTTTAGCCTTCTGTTTATTGAGTAATTCAGTAAGATAATTCCCCACTCTTGTGGCATTTCCTTGAAGGTCTTCACTTTCAATTACATTCAGGACAGCCAAACCAATAGCAGAAGATACTGGATTTCCTCCATACTGCAGAAAAAAGATAAAAACATAATAGTTGAATTAGTGGTATTGCTTCATCTATGAGAAATTTGGCTCGTACATAAGCAGATAAAGATATAATTTCAATAAGTTTTTCTCTTGTGATGCAAACTTGTTAGATTTAGGATATAGTGTGATTCTATTTATTTACAACTGAGTGAAAATTCATTCCGAATCATAGTCTCCATGCCGCATAATTGGTATGAACGACTATCATGGAATTTATTAGTTCATCCAAACAAAAACGAGACACTGCGTTGGGAACTAAGAATTTCAGAATGTGGTTCAGTGAGGGGGATGTGGACTTCGGTCCCTGAACAGTTGTGTGAAAACAGCTACGCAATGACATTTTCTCCAAATAATTTATGTCCTCAGTTTGAATCTTACTATTAGTTGTCACAAGTACTAATACACGTACTGCACAAACTATAATAATTTTTCCAAGCTTAAAGTTCATGACTTTTGGGGGTAAAACCAAGGAAATAAAATTTCCCAAAGATAGAAAATTTAGTATCTCCTGTGACAGCCATATAACATTTATAGTACTGTATCATCTAAACACTTTAGAAATGCTTGGGGAATTTAAATGTGATACAAAATAAAGGCGATCATATTATCTATGAGTGAAACATAACCTGTAGAGTTTAGTAAGGCAACCATTTATTACAAGAACAATTAATCATTTTAGGAAGGGGAAAGATACACAAGGAAAAATACAAGAATTATGCCAGACAGAATGAAATATGGTTAGATCCAAGTTTGGCTAGTGTCCTGGGGTGGTTAGCTGGCAATACTGAACTTTATTCTTTACTACATTGGCAAGAAGTGTAAGAACATGCATTATTTTTCCCTCTTAGCATAAACTGGGAGGCCAAAATTTACCGTATTGAAGTATTCCATCCCAGAACTGCTGAAGGCCTCTGCAATTTCTTTGGTTGTTACAACGCATGCCATTGGGTGGCCATTGCCCATTGGTTTTCCCATTGTGACAATGTCTGGAACAAAATCTTCACCATGCATTTGGAAGCTCCAGAAATGTTTCCCAACTCGGCCAAAGCCCACCTGAACTTCATCAGCTATAAACACACCTCCTGCTCTGTGTACATATCTGAAAAGCAAAAAGGAAATCTAATGCCTTCGGATCACGGAGGGTCCCCAAACCCACCCACGAAGATATAGATTATGGAGGACTTGAAAAAATGTCGTTAACTTGAGGTTTGTAATCATTGTCAAAAACATTTCAGCGCTCAAATCCCCAAAGCATCTATGTGATGTCACTGACTTTGCAATATAATCACATTATTTCCAGACTAGACATGTTCTATATTATGGAGGTTTGTGCTGCTTGATGTAAGCTGTACTGTGGCATTTTAAGTGGGAAGAGAAAGAAGTGAACCAGTAGTGTTTAGCAGGGTTAATCTTCCAATTTTACTGATTGGTAAGCATGGGCACCAGCCAGAGAGGATGCCAGGCTGGGGAATGGAGCAGGGTCCTGGAGGCCCCCTGCTGGACCACATACACCCTTTATTTGCTGGATCTTGGAAAGGTGGAGGGGCTCTGGGGAGTCCCGGTGTAGCAGGCATGCCTAAGTGGCTCTTCACCAGCTAGTCTGCAAGTACTTCAATATTTTAACCAGTATGGCCTTGTAGAACTGTCACAGAGCCTTCAGTCTGACCAAGGATGCCCAAGTCAAGTACATACTCTGCCACTTTCTGGAAGTAGCCTGCTGGAGGAATTATTTGTCCGCCACAACTCTGCATGGATTCAGCAATAAAGGCAGCAATCTACACAAGAGAAGATGGGGTCAAAGTCCATTAGGTTCCCCTTGAACCCCCTAAAAACGAGGACTTTTTATAGAGCAGGTTATCTTGGGTGGGAATGTGCCTGTGGCAGGTGTCAGACAGGCCATTTGATGACCAAGAAAAGATGTCCATGCTGGAAATGCAAACTGATCTGAAGCATCAGTTTCGGAAATTCCACAGTACCAGTGGAACGGTGGAGAGGGCGACTTCCATTTCTCTGTTACTAATTTAAATGCAGTGTTTTCATGAGGACTGGCTGAACGAGAATGATGTTTGGATCAGTCTTTGATATGAACTTCTAAAAAATTACCCAGTTTCTAAACCCATTCCTGTGGTGCCTGTTTCCTCAGCTTGGTGAATGAGGATTGCTTGCACCCAGAATATGCTCTAAGGAAATGGGAGAGCGACTTGTGGCCATGCGCTTTAGTTACTGCGCCTTATTTCTAGTTCTTACCCTGACCCAGGCTTAACTCAACGGAATTAGGCAGTTCACAAAAGGAACTGCAGATGAAATGCTCTGGAGGGGAAGAAAATGGGGGGCAGAAAATAGATAACACTGAATCAAGCGGAGAAAGCATAGACATAGTATGAGATATGAAGTCAAGAGAACCAGACTACATTTTAGTAACTCTATTACCTTGGCTTACGTTCTTCCCTTTGGAATATTTCATTTACTAGCTATAACATGAAGCCACTGGACTTAAGAGATTGCTTCTCTAAAATTCCCTGACCTTGTAAGCATATCTAATATTCTGAAGCATCCATCTTCTATTTGCTCATTGCTTTCAGCATTCTTAACAGGAAAGCATCAATTCAATAGCTACTGAATGCTAATGTGCTCCAAAAGCTATGGGAGCCTTTGCAGCAGGCAAAAAGACCATGTGATCTTAATAATGTAAGCATTTCCCTGGAAGAACTGTTTACCGTTTGTGCAAAGAAGAATAGGCTATGCTTGAATAAGAAAAGCCAAAAAATAAAACAAAACAAAATAAAACAAACAAACAAAAAGAAAGCATATGAAGCTCCCCACAACAGGTAGAGCTGAGGGCTAGCTGCGCAGATAGCACATCTGAAGATATGGAAAATGAACAGAATGGAAAGAAAACAGTTAAGAAATGCAAATGACTCTCCAGGCACTAAGATAAAAATATTTGAATTGGAAAAAGCAAAGACTTCCTTTTCATCAAAATGGAGGTTTTCTTTATTACCATGTTGATGCCATAAGCCAGTTTAAACGCAAAGCACATGTCAGGGCGCCTGGGTGACTCAGTTGGTTAAGTGTCCTGTCGGACTTCGGCTCAGGTCATGATCTCGCAGTTCCTGAGTTCAAGCCCTGCGTCGGGTTCCATGCTGACAGCTGGGAGCCTGGAGCCTGCTTCGGATTCTGTGTCTCCCTCTCTCTCTGCCCCTCCCCTACTCGTGCTCTGTCTCTCTGTCTGTGTGTGTGTGTGTGTGTGTGTGTGTGTGTGTCTCAAAAATAAATAAACATTCAAGGCAAAGCACATAAGTAACCCCCAAATGGGCTGAGAATTGATGTCAAGCTAGTAGGGTGACGACTGAGAAAATGGAAACTCTTACTCTGGGGGATTCTGGTGCTGTCTTAGAAGTCTAGGTTCAGATTGGAGAAACATCTTTTCTGCCTTGGCTAACCCGGGCTGTGCAGCTTCGGGACAGTTGAACCAGTTCAAGGGAAGCACTAAGGCATCCTGGGCCTGGGAGCCTGCACTGGTTCTGAGGTCCCAGGACCACTGTGCCTCCCCCTCCCTCCATCATTTGGAAGAGTCTTTCCTAATCCTCTCCTCCCCTACCCCTTTGGACCATAGTCTGCCTCCCACTGAGAAGGGGAGAATTAAGCCATAGTGATTGCATTTCTAGAATAAATAAAAATAGATAGTTTTAGAGGCATGATTATAATAATGAACTGTAAAAAATATGAACCAAGTGAAATGTAAGCAGAGAAGAACAAAAAGGGCATTGCGCTCTAACCTTTTTCGCCTCTCCAATTCTCACAATGATTTCAATCCATCTTATAAACAATGTTAAGGTGTTTTCAAAGCTGCAAATACCAACCTTCCTTCCACTGTTATGAGCTTCTTCAATAATTTTCTTCACTTCATCTGCATAAGCGCCGGCTGGGTCTGCATGATCTTCTCTGTATTTTCCTCTGTAAGTATCTGGAGTTGGTGCCTGAAAACAATCAAATGGTAGAGTTTCTCAAGATTTCCTTCTCGGACAAATGAGCCTTAAAAAAAAAAAAAGGCATTTCGGGGTGTCTGGGTGGCTCACTCAGTGAAGCGTCCAAATCTTGATTTCAGCTCACATCATGATCTCACGGTTCACAGGTTCGAACCCTGAGTTGAGCTCTGTTTTAATGCTTCAACAATTTGATTGATTTCTTTATTGTCTTTCCTATTTATTTTACTTCATAACTCTGTATAATAATTTAGCATAGAGCAATTTAATTTTAAGACATTCATACACAGTAGATTCAACTCTGAATTTCAAGCTGGCATCAGTGACAGAAAAAGTAATTGAAGACCAAAAGCTAAATAAAATAAAATAAAATAAAATAAAATGACAACTGTAAATACTAGCTTTCACTACAACTATACTAATTTGCTCATTGTGACACTCATCAATGGATTTTAAACCACATCCTGTCATTAACTAGCCTTTTGACTTTAGTAAGTCACATAACTGCTTTAAATCTTTGTTTCTTTTTCATAGTTTTATTTTGATGAAAGGATCGGACTGGATTATCACTAGGCATTCTTCCAGTTCTAACTTTCTGATTCTTGGATTCTAAGATACTTACCACATGCACAAATTCTTTCTTGACATCTTTGCCCTTTCGGAATTTGTATGGACTGATCTCAATTAAAGATGATAGGTGACCATGGTAAGCACTGAAAAGAAAAAGAACAGTAACCAACATCACTCAGCAAAGGATGTTTTTGTAGTGTATGAAAACCAGTATTCCTAATCATCCGGGGAGAATCTAAACCTTGGTGCCAGATTTAATTCTACAGGATCTAAGTTTTCATGGCAAGACTGGCCATTTAATTTGTCCAGTTCTCCTTATTCATGTAATAAAACACATAGGAAACCAAGTATGTGTCCTCATAGACAATTTTTTTTTCAACAGGAAAAAAACCCTTAATTTCTTAGGATGATATTAGATGTACTAAATTATATTGTCTACATGTAAAAAATTATTTTCTATAGCTTCATGAAAAACTTTGTTAAGTATGTATTCTTTAAATGTATTTGACAGTTACGTTCTAGTAAATTTTAAAAATAACTTCATATCCCAGAATGGGCTGTGTTTCTGTCTGGAATGGTTTCTGTGGGATGTCTGATTGCATAGGCTGGCCAAATACAAGCCAGGAAGAGCATGAGATCTCTTCAAGAAGAACTCAGATTGAGAGGTAGCCAAGTGGCTATGAGATTCCTTTCTCTCACTTAAAATACAGGTGGCTATAATATACCCTTTTCTGTTTCTTTCCCAAAGGCATAATTAAGAGATCTGGAAAAGAAATTTTAAAAAGCCCAGGAATAGATAAAACAAAGAGAGAAGACTTCCCTTAGTATAGATTAACGCATGCTACAAAGCCATAGTAATAAAGTTAGTATGCAGACTAAGAACAAGGAGAAGACTGGGGCAGAAAAGGACCTCAGAGACACATCCACACATAAATGTAACACAGTGGACACCAGGTGGGTTTCATACAAGGCAGCAGAAGAAAATGAAGAACATTTTCATGATATGGGGAGTGCAGTGGGTGTAGAGGGAGAGATATTAGCAAAACTTAGAAGACACAAATTGTACAATGAAAATTTTATCTATTTGATTTGATCAAAATTAAAGATTCCTGTTGGAGGATATCATGGACAAAGCTAAAAGACAGATGATAGGGCAGGAAAGGATATTTGAAATGTCTCAAACTAAAAGAGATTAACTCTATGGTGAGAGATTAACTCTGCCTGCATAGTAGAATCACTTGGGAAACTTAAAAATATATACTTCTGATTTTCTTTACTTGGTCTGGGGTGGGGCCCAGGCACTGGCATTTAAAGAAATTTCCTAGGTAATTTTAAGACACAGTCAAGGTTGAGATGTTTTGATCTAGACAATACAAGTAAACACAAACCAACAAGAAAAGGATGGGAACCCCAAGAGAAAAATGGGCAAAGAACATGAACAAGTCATTCTCAGAAGATAAATCACAAATGCATATAAGTTTATGAAGAGATACTCAAATTCATCATTAGAAAGCTGCAAAGTTAAGACAACATTGATATCATTTTATAGTCACTGGACTGGCCAAAATTAGAAAAAAAAAAACGAGAAAGCAGAATACTATTAGGTTTTGGTGGGGATAGAGGGAAATGGAAAATTTCATGCACTGTGTAGAGTGTTGCAACCATTCTGGAAACTGATCTGGTAGTATTTAATCACATTAGGACCACAGTACCCCTATGGACTAGCAATCCTGTTTCTGGGTGTTTATCCCTAAGCACTTCTTAGAAAGGTCCATAAGGGCACATGTACAAGGATGCTCATTGCAGACCTACTTGTGGTAGCTAGGAGCAACGGACAGTGACAGTATCCATCAGTGGGGGGAACCACATGTAGCTACTGAGCACCTAAAATACATTGGCTCTGAATTGAGATGTGCAATAAGTGTAAAACATACACTGGATTTAAAGATTTAAAATATGAAAAAAGAGGGGCACTTGGGTGGCTCAGTCTGTTCAGCATCTGACTTCGGTTCAGGTCTGATCTCACCATTTATGAGTTCAAGCCCCACATCAGGCTCCGTGCTGACAGCTCACAGCCTGAAGCCTGCTTTGGGTTCTCTGTCTTCCTCTCTCTCTGACCCTCCTCCATTCAAGCTCTGTGTGTCTCTCTCCCTCAAAAATAAATAAATGTTAAAAAATTTTTAAGAAAAAGAGAAATCTCAATATATCTTACATTGATTAACTATTGGAATGATATTTGCAAATATATTGGCTACTGCAAAAATTTAAATGTCCTATGTGGCTCACATACTTCTATCAGACCACACTGAATTAGAAAAATAGATGTACATCTAGCAATATAGTCTTGAAACAGTGCTGAGGGGAAAGTTTGAAACAGAAAAAAGATCTATGACAATTTTTATAAAATTAAAACAGATTCACAAAATATAATATATAAGAACACAAAAATAAAAGATATACACTAGACACATTAGAATAGCTGTCTATAGGTGAGGGAGAATGGAAATTTAAAAAGAACCAACAAATCAACTGTGGTAGGCAGAACAATGCACCCCCCCCCCCCCCCCGCCAGATGCCCACATTCTAGTCCTTGGAATCTAGGAATATGACACATGGCAAAGGGAACCTTGCAGATGTGAATAAATTAAGAATCTTGAGATGGAGAGATAATCCTGGAGAGTCAATGTAATCGCAGGTGTCTTCACAAGTGAAAGGAGGAGGCAGGGGGTTGGTGGTCAGAGGTTGAGGATGGAGGGGGGGGGCAGGGCGGTGGAAGGGAGGGACTCCAAGCAAAGAATGCAGGCAGCCTCTCGAAGCCCCGGCAAGGCAAGAAAACAGAAGGAGCCTTCAGAAGGAGCACAGTTCTGTTGACACCTTGATATTGGCCCCATGAGACCCATTTTGGATTTCTGACCTATTCTCTCTGTGAGAGAATACATTTGTGTTGCTTTAACCACTAAATCTGTAGTAATCTGTTATAGCAACAATAGAAAATGAATATGCCACTCAGCACGTAAAACAAGAGAAGCCTGTATAAGGGCAAGAAATGAAGAAGAAGTTCAATTTAAGCTTCTGCGTCTGATATCAGTGGAGAGGTAGAAAAAAAATTAAAAGAAAAAATCTTAATAAGGAATGGAGGTTGTCAGCTTTCTTGTTTAAATGTAAAGATTCATGTTTAGAAGGTGAGATTAAATGACTGTTAATAGTCACAAACTAAGCAGAAAGTACTATCTTTTACTTGGTTTCTAAAATAAGAAATTTGTCCTAAATTGTTGGGGTCCCTGGGTGGCTCAGTTGGTTAAGCATCCGGCTTCGGCTCAGGTCATGATCTCAAGGTTCGTGAGTTAGAGCCCAGCGCTGAACTCTGCACTGACAGCTTGGAGCCTGAAGCCTGCTTGGGTTTCTGTGTCTCCCTCTCTCTCTGCCCCTCCCTAGCTTGTGCTTTCTTTCTCTCTCAAAAATAAATAAATAACATTAATTTTTTTTAATTTGCCCTAAATCATTATCTTTTAAATTAATTACAGTGGATAATCACAATAATGATGAGAATGTATAGAGTTTTAAGACATCAGTTATGTTTTTATTTTGAGAACAATTGAGTTATGTAGTGTGGTGGCTCAACAAACAGTTAATGTGTAAAAAGCAAGCCCTGATTCATGCAAAGCCCATTAGCCATGACCACAGCATCCAAGAGATCCTCCCCCGTTTGCAGGAACTTCAACAGAATTAGGTATTCTCCAGGCCTAAGCTGGCCTTGATACCTTAATACAGAATAAAAATCATTGTGCCACCCTCCTCCACATGGGCTTGTGGTATTTGGTATGGACAGGACCAATACGATTTTGTGTCTGAAGGAGCTTCTTGCTTAGAAGTCTTGCATCCAAAACTTACTGGTCAAGAGTGATCACATCTTGGTGGCCTCTGAACTGCCGAGCCAAGCGTAAGGCTAAGTCATTGGCTTCAGATCTAAGATAACACAGAGACAGGGATCAACATGACATAAGCTTAAAAAAAAAAAAGTTTCAAAATGTTAATTACCAAAGTTGTAAGATCCCAGTTATTCAGAAATGGATGGAGAAGTAAGTTGCAGTCCTCTCTTTCCCCCTCAGTCTTGCTCACCCAGCAAATCTCACTTCATCCTTCTAATACAAGTTCCCCAGAGGTCTTCAATAAGGAATGAGACACACAAAAGAAACCCAATTCAAAGGATATGCTGCTTAGTTCAAATTTCAGCCTAGTTCAGCCACATTAGTAGGTGGCGGACTTGGAGGATGTCAGGAAGCCCGCGTTAAGCCTCATCTCGGAGGAATGGCAGTGCGACAGCCCCTTAATTGGACCACAAAACTAAGTACTACTGACCCAATATTTGATCAGCTCCTCATTGATAAAATGAAGATCATAATTTTTCTTACTGGTTTTGGCAGTCTAAATATACTACTCAGACACAGAGGAAGAAAATAATCATTTGTGGGATGTTTGCTCTCTGCCAGACATCATATGGAGTGTTTTGGTTGCATTTATTCTCAGAACTCCTCTGTATGGCGGGGGCTGCTGTCTCCTTTGTATGGATGAAGCAATGCCTCAGAGAGGTTAAGGAGCTCTCTGAGCTCTCACAGCTAATAAGCTCTCACAGCTAATAAGAGGTAGAGCCAGCATTCAGACCGTTTAACTTCAGGATTATGCTTTGTACCATCCCAGGCTCTGCTGCCTCCAGTCTCTGGTGACAGTGCTCTTGGAAGCAATCCCTTTTTGACAGTGTAGGATTCTTTAGAAGTGAAAGGCAAATATTATGGTATTTAATTCATTGAAGGCAAAGAAATGCTTTATAACAACAAATTGGATCCTAAAATTTCTTCATTCTTTTTTTTTCAACTTTTTTTTTTATTTTTTTATTTTTTTTATTTTTGGGACAGAGAGAGACAGAGCATGAACGGGGGAGGGGCAGAGAGAGAGGGAGACACAGAATCGGAAACAGGCTCCAGGCTCTGAGCCATCAGCCCCGAGCCTGACGCGGGGCTCGAACTCACGGACCGCGAGATCGTGACCTGGCTGAAGTTGGACGCTTAACCAACTGCGCCACCCAGGCGCCTCAAAATTTCTTCATTCTTTACAAAGAAAAAGGAATGATCTTCTGCCTACAAAATTGGTTTTAAAATCTCATTGAAAAGAGAAATGTGAATCACAATATCATATGATCAAACAGTTACAGAATTTCTAATAGTTTTAATCATATATACATACACATAATTTTTAAAATATGAGTTTAATGCTGTATGTACAGGTCTCCTCCCAATATAATATTGCATTGTGAGCTTTTCACATGTCACTATAAATGTATTTTCAAACACATATTTTTAACGTCTGCAGAATATTCCATAGAATGGATACAGAATAACTTGAATTTACGGAACTTAAAAGTTGGAACATATCTATTCTTTTGAATTTAGTCCTTCCTTTTTTTGTACTTGTGTTAGGGAAATGTTTAATTGCCTAAGAAAACAAGTCAATCAAAAGTCTTACAGGGGCGCCTGGGTGGCTCAGTCAGTTAAGCGTCCGACGTTAGCTCAGGTTATGATCTCACGGTTTGTGAGTTCGTGCCCCACGTCGGGCTCTATGCTGACAGTTCAGAGCCTGGAGCCTGCTTCAGATTCTGTGTCTCCCTCTCTCTCTGCCCCTCCCCTGCTCACCCTCTATTTCTCTCTCAAAAAATAAGTAAACATTAAAAAAAATTTAACAAAAGTCTTACAAAAGTTATATCCATTTAGTAGAATTCCTTCTTTGCTGAAATCCATTATTTGTGCTTCAAAAAAACTGTCCAGGCCTTATTGATTTAAAAAAATTTTTTTAAATGTTTATTTACTTTTGAGAGAGAGAGAGACAGAGTATGAGTGGGGGAGGGCAGAGAGGGAGACACAGAATCTGAAGCAGGGTCCAGGCTCTGAGCTGTTTATACAGAGCCCAACGTGAGCTGAAGTCAGATGCTTAACCGACTGGGCCACCCAGGCGCTCCTTTATTTAAAAAAATTTTTTTAAAATGTTTTATTTATTTATTTTGAGAGAGACAGGGTGAGCAGGGGAGGGGCAGAGAGAGAGAGAGAATCCCATGCAGGCTCCACAGGATGTGGGTCTCCAACTCACCAGAACATGAGGTCATGACTGAGCGGAAATCAAGAATCCGAGGCTTAAGAGGCTGAACGATCCAGGCAGGGGGTCCCTATCGATTTTTTTAGCTGCTTCCTCTAGTGTCTGAAGAGGTGAGTGTCATACGACTGGTTAGGTTTTGTCACGTGAGAACCAGCTTGGATATTTTTGCCAGGGTTACAACCCAGGTGTCTCTCCTTTAGGGATACTAAAGCATTCTAGATATGCTTTTCTTACCTTTCACCAAGGGAAGCCCTGGTAATAAAAAGTTGAGTGACATGCACATGTTAATCATCAGTGGCTGTGCCAAAAACCCCGGAGCATGCAGTCCACAAGCTCATGGAGCAAAAGCAGAAGAAAACCGAACCATCAGGGCCCCCGCGTGTGTTCACTTAATAAGTGGCAAGAATCTCAGAAAAACTTTTTAGACGTCTGCGCTCCACCACAAATCAAAAAGAAAGATACGTGTGAGAGCGTAAACAAAGAGATGAGCGGGAATGGGGGTGGGTGGGAAACTTTGAAACATACCCTGAGTTTGTAAAATAGCAAACAGAGAGCGTCTCCGGCAGGGTTGCTGAAAGGCGCCTGGCATACTCAACAATATTGTCATGAAGGAATCGAGAATTTGTGTTTAGCATTTCCATCTGTTTCAGGGCAGCCGTGACCACTTCCGGGTGACAGTGTCCCACTAGAATTTAGAAGACAAAGCAAACAAACAAACAAAGAAATTACAATTTTAAATTCCTGGGCAGTGAGGGGGATTCTGAAGCAAGAAAAAGAGAAAAAGAAAAAGTTGAGCTTCCTTCTCTCCCACGTTGCTCCGTAACTTTTCCTGGCAGGGACGACTGACCCCATTCAGCCAAGGAGCTGCAGCCATTGCAATTCCTGGGACACCTATCGGTGGTGCTCTGTCTGCCTTACTCCACAAACGTATCCTTCACGGCACAACAAAGACAGGACATGTACCGTGCGCCACGTTGTTGATGCAGTCCAGGTACTGTTCACCTTTCTCGTCAAACATGTACTGCCCCTGGGCTCGCACTATTTTGATGGGATCCGCAGCGAAGAACACTTTGCATGAGGGCCTAGAGATAATGAAAGGAAACACGTTGGTCTGGAAGGACTGCTCAGTGTTTTTCCTTTTCAATGAAGGTCATGATCAGTGGAAAATTACAGTTACATAAAGGAAAGAGAAACACAACCTGGGTGACATACATTTAAAAAAATTTTTTTTCATATTAGCCTGGAACCTTTCACCTTAATCCCCCATTCGTGACCCTGCTCATATATTTCATGTATTTGTGATATGAAATTTGCCATGATTTGACAACTCGGTTTAGAGGCACATGGATCAACTCTGACAGCTCTAATTACACCAACCAATAACTAATTTTCCTTTGGGAAGTTTTGTTCTACCAGAAAAAAAAAAAGCAAAAAAACAAAAAACTTTTTTTTTTTTTGAGGTTGACTATGTTCAGGAACTGATAAATATTACAAATATTTAATCCTCCCGACAATCATATGAAATAGGGTTATTATCATTCTCATTTTTATAGGTGAGGAAACTGAGGCTCAGAAAAATCAAGACACTTGTTCAAGATGACACAGCCAACAAGTGAAAAAAACCCCTGAATTTGATAGTAGACTGTCCTAATACCATAGCCCAAGTCAGTATCTGCTTGTTTTCTCCCTCTCCCTTTCTGATCTAATTGATAAGAAATGAATAGCACTAAAAGCTAAATATAAATAAATTGGTATTAAATACTATAAAAGAGATTTTATAGGAGACCATTCCCATGTCTTTTGAGTGGTACTTGTCCTGTATCAAATGGATTTTCCATTCTTAAATAATGAAATCCAATTATTCTTCTAATCCCTTAATCCATTATTTTGAGCATAATAAAAAGTCATCCATATTTTGGGTTACTTGGATGAATGTCTGGAATATAAATTTCAGAATGCCTGGAGTATAAATTTTAGTAACATAGAAACATCACAAAAGTTTGCGATGTTCTACATATCCATATGGATATGTAGAAAGTAAAATAGAATATATTATTTTTATTTTGGTGATTTTGCATGCACAAAAAAGTGCCACATGCATTGGAGGTATTTTGGAAGGTAATGAAATGCTTACATATTAAATTGAAAGTATTTTACTTATTGCGTATAAGTAAAGTAAAATACTTTAGAAAGTATTTTAATTATTATATATAGGTAATCTTAATTTAAAATTGCCTCAGATTAAGCATCGTCAGTTAAAAGGAAACTAATATTTAATGAGAATTTCTTATTAGCTCAAACCCAACTGTTAGTTTATACTCCCCGTTAAAAGCCAAAGGAAACCTTTGTCATGAGTGTGGGCTAGTAACTGCAGACTTCATCCTCCCTTGCTAACAGTACTTTACACGTTGCACTCAGACTTCAGGTAAAATTCTTCAGGGCTGTCCATGGTGATATTCCTCCTTTCCCAAAATTTCTTCTGCTCACACTAGAAACCATTGGCTTTTCCCTGGAATCTAATTATATAGGATTGAAAACTAACAGAAAAAGACAAGGGGGTGATTGAGTAATGAGGGAGGAATGGGACCATTTTGGCTTCCGCTATGCCGGGGTTGAGAGAGTGCCTTCCAAGCAATCTCCCAACAGGCCATCTAGAAACGTCTGGGTTGAGACCAGGAGACCAGTAGGAGCAACCGCCTAGCATTTCTCAGAAGTAGATACTAGTTCTTTTCTTTCTTGCGTCCCTAGTCCTCTCTCAAGTTTACCCATGACAGTGCTTGTTAATTACATGTGAGTATTGCAGGCCTTTGATTTTACAGTGGCCACAATCATCATCTATATTTACATGTGCCTTTTTAGAAACCAGATCATGCTTATTACTCTCACTTGCTCACTCCTGTGAAGCAGAATGTTATTCCTACTCCCACAGAAGAGGAAATTAAAGTAATCTGACAGAGGTCACACAGGTAACATGACACCCTACTAGGACCAGAGCCCAGGTCTGACCTAACATTCAGTGCTGTACGCTTACCGGTATTTTACCGAGTCGTTTATAACACGCGCAAAACAAAAGGAGACTGGAAAGAACATTGCATTTTTTCATTGTAATGAGGGCACAGCTTATTTTACCCTTAACAAAGTGTCTTTTAAGGTTTTCTTCTGGCTGGATTAACTCTTTAACTCCTAACCAAGCACGCAAGAAGAAAAAGTTCACTTTAAACAAAAGTTGTCAAAATTAGTTTGTTTTCATAGCCACTGTCGAAAATATTTTTGAGGGGCGCCGGGGTGGCTCAGTCGGTTAAACACCCGACTTCTTCTCAGGCTCAGGTCATGATCTTCGGGTTGGTGAGTCTGAGCCCCGAGAATGGGCTATGCGCTGACAGGTTAGAGCTTGGAGCCCGCTTGGGATTCTGTCTGTCTCTCTCTGTTCCTCCCCAGCTCAAATTCTCTCTCTCTCTCTCTCTCTCTCTCTGAAAAATAAATAAAGATTTTTAAAAAAATTTTAAAAATATCTTTGAGTTCACAGTTTTGAGAGCTTTCGGGTTGTGGGATTTGGCGCAGGGCTACCCATCTCCGTCTCAGCCCCCATCCCTGGAATAGTTCCCCTCCTAGATCTATTAACCCTCGTGGGACAACTCTCGCAGCCGCCGGCAGCTCCCAGGCAGCGGCGGGGGGCAGAGCGCCCGGACTGCGCGGGAGCAGGCTGGCGGCGTTCCCTCCCGGCGGAGGCGCGGCGGGCACCGGGAGCTGGCGCG